TCCTCTTTCATATCTGATTTTATTTATTTGAATCTGCTCTCTCTTTTTCATGGTGAGTCTAGCTAAAAGTTTGTCAACTATGTTTATCTTTTAAAAGAACCAGCTCTTACTTTCATTGCTTTTCTACTATCTTTTTAGTCTCTATTTCATTTATTTCTGCTCTAATCGATGTTATTTCTTTCCTTCTGCTAACTTTGGGCTTCATTTGTTGTTCTTTCTCTAGTTCCTTAAGGTGTAAAGTTAGGTTGTTTGAGACTTTTCTTGTTTCTTCAGGTAACCATTTAACCCTATGAACTTCCCTCGTAGAATTGCTTTTGCTGCATCCCATAAATTTTAGTATATTTCTATTTTTGTTTGTCTCAAGATATTTTTCATTTCTTTCAATTTCTTCTTTGACTGTTGGTTTTTTTAGTAGTATGTTGTTTAATCTCCACATATTTGTGAATTTTTCAGATTTTTTCTTGTAACTGATCTCTCATTTCACGCTATTGTGGCCAGAAAAGATGCTTGATGTGATCTCAATACTCTTAAATTTATTAAGACTTGTTTTGTGGCCTACTGTGTTGTTTAAGGCACATGTTTCCATATTGATTTTCTGTTTGGAGGCTCTATCCATTGATGTAAGTGAGGTATTAAAGTCTCCTACTATTATGGTATTGCTGTCTGTTTCTCCCTTTAGGCCTGTTAATATTTCCTCTATATATTTTGGTGCTCCTGTGATGGCTGCGTAAATATTTACAATTCTTTAAGGTATGACAGAATTAGCAGCATATCATTCTTTTTTACTTCTCATCCATCTTGCCAGTTTATAAAATAAGGGGCTTGCAGGGATAAGAATGGCCTCATTTATAGGACAGATCTAATAACACCTGTAGCTTGTGTAGGTTTGTCCTGTTAGATGCCACCTCACTGGGTCTGATGTTGCTACCAAAAAGTGTATCACTGGTTTGTCAGAATTGGTGTTTCTACCATTATTTGCAGTTTATGACTAAAGGAAGCAGTCAATTTGATATTAAAATTTAAAAAAAATCTCTCTGCATCCCTACACAGGTTTTTTGGGGGTTTTTTTTCTTCAAGGTTCACAGGAAACTAAAGCAGTTACCCCAGTTAGTGGCCTAAGGTACAGATGTTTGCGTTATGATGTAACACAGACAAGTACTGATGGTTTCCACAAAGCTGCTGTGAATTTAAACACTGGAATATCTTGGGTTGTAGATATGACAGGAACCATTCAACGTGTGATTTTAAAGGAAATGTATGCCTTTGTGGCAACTCTGTCACACAAGTGTGAACCGTTCGCCTTTATTTCTCCTTGCTCTGTTATTCCCCTTCCCTGGAGTAGGAGGGAAGAGTTGCGGCCCCTGGCCAGATGAGAAGTCCACACCACCCCCGAGAAGAAGATTCCACTGGCTTCCAAAGGATATTTACATACTGCATCCCTGGTACCTTGAGCCTGTGTTACTAAAGTTCACAAGTCCTAAAACTCCAGAGGGCCGTCTGAGGGCAGGGGTGCAGGGCGCCTGGAACTGAGATGGGAGGTGAGGTGTGCAGGTACCTATGTTCTGTAGTGTTGCCAGGGACACGGGGATCAGGTTTCTCTCCCTCGGACACCCCCGCAGGTGATGAGACTCGCACAGAGCGAGTGCTTGGTGTCGTAACAGGGGACACACCTGTCCTTCACCTGGAAGCGCGAGGTTAGGAAAGACCCTTAGGAGCCCTGCTGGGCCGTAACCCCCTCCTGCCCTTTAGGTAACTGGGCTTGGCCTCGGGTATAGGATGAATGTTTTTCTAGATGAGGTTTTCGTGGCTTAGCTTACGTGGCACGCCCATGGTAATCGACCTCAAAAAGTGTGGACACCAACAAAAAAACCCTGTAATTCATTCAGTAACCAGTTGGCCATGACTAGGGGCCTTCTTCCTGTTTAACAGAAGGGTGTGCACCTGGCAAACCCCATCAGTTGAGAGAACTGGTCCAGTTTCATGTCTGGGAAAAGCCACATAAATGATGGGAAGGAGGCTGCTGTTCACTCCGGGCTGCAGTTTCCCTGATTTTCTGCGTGTAGGGACATCAAGGCGACAGTTTTTGCACAGTGTAGAAAGAAAGCATCCTCATGAAAAGACATTTGGATAGTAGTTCGCGGAATCATTCATTAAGTATATATTGAAGACCTACTCTGTGCCACAGTCCCATCTTCCACAGTTGCTTCCGGAAAGGCAGCAGCAGGAGGCAGGATTGGCAGGGGGCTAGCTGGGAATCGCCCAGTACTGCATTCTGTGCATTCTGTGGGGAAGAAAGGGTGTGTGACACCCATGTGCTCAGCTCTGATAACTCCGTATCCCATTTTCTCACTGCAGTCAAAACTATGAAGGCCAATTCTGGTCAAGTGAGAGCAGGCATCTCAAGTTTGGCAGATCTTATGACCCCTGAGTTCCTGTTTAGCTGTGTGACCTTGGGCAAGTTCGTAACTCCTCTCTCTGTTTCCTCATCTGTGAAATGGGCCATTACTCCTTACCTGGTGAAATCCGATCTCGCATCCCCAGGACTGATGGAGAAGCCACACCGACCTCCTTGCAGCCTCTCACTCTCCCTGGGAAGCCTTTCCTTTCTGAGTTTCTTCCCCTTTCCTCCTGCTCCGTGGTAAGGAGGAGAGACTGCGCTTGGAAGTCACAGAGACAAGGTTTCAAATAGAGTCACAGAAACCTCACTTCAAATCCCAGTTCTCCACTCAGTAGTTGAGCGGCTTTGAACATGTGAACTGACTGAATCCCAGTTCTGCCTGTAAAATACAGCCAGCCTGCCTCCTGGGAAACAGGGAGGACGAAATGAGGTGACTCTGGAAGACCTTGGCAGGGCGCTGGTGACCTGCGTCTGGTTTCACACTGACCCCTCTCCCATCACCTTGACTCTGATTTGCTGTCAAGGGGCTCCTGCAGACACCAAGCCGGGTTTTGAGTGTGACATGTCCTAGAAGCAAAGCGATAGGGAATAAAAGCCCCATATCTCATTGTAATCCCTGGAGCTGAAAGCGTCGGCTCAGTCACCCTGCCTGTGAGTTAGCAGAGATCAGCGGGAGAGAGAAGCTGGTGGAGCGAGGGCAGCCTGCCAGGGGGCCTTCTGCCAACGGGCCCGCGCTGGTCGATGGCAGTGGAGTAGATCTCAGTGAGCGCAGCTGCAGGCGGTGTGTGCTCCTCCTCCACTGTCACTTCCACCTCTGTCCCTGCACCACAAATACCCTGCCACTGCCAGCATCCTCTGCACGAAGGCACTCCCACCAGGAGGGCCTGTAGGCAGCACTGCTGAATGAAGCAGCGCCCTCGTCTGCAAGCCACGGCATACCAGCAATGATGCCTTTTAGAAAGCCTGCTTGCAAATGGAGCTGTGCCCATTCAGGACAGATTCCCGGAGGGACTTTGTGTACGAAGCGAGGATGTTTGCCCTGGGTCCTGACCGCATCAGCCAGCACCCCTGGGAGCCGAACTCTCCCAAGCAACGAAACAGTAGAACATTGCAGAACAGTAGAACATTGCACCCAGGCATTAGGGGCAAAGAGACAGAGCCCCCCTCCCCATCCCCCAGCCTAATGCCTTTACAGGGCTACCTCCTTCCCTGGGCAGGAGAATTTGCTGTCCTACTCAATTGGTTGGATTTTTGTGGTGTATTTTTAAAGTTATAGCTATTTCTTCCAAAGAAGGGAAGCTCTGTCTCACAGTGTCAACTTGCTCAGATCATAGCGGGTCCACAGTGGAGCTGGGATGGGTCTCCAGGCCTCCTCAGTCTCTGTCCAGGTTGCTGTGGTCAGGTCCACGCTTATCCTTCCTCCTGGGACCTCGGCGGGTGGTGTTGTCACGGCGGAGGCTCCATGTGTGAGGGGCAGTGAGAAGGGCTCCAGCTCTGTCAAATCTGGACTCTGCCAGCTGCCGGCCCTGGCTTCAGAGAGAATCTTGACCACTCTGAGTCTCCGAGGCTCCACCCGTAAAACACAGTTAATAGTACTTCTCAGGGTTTGGGGGGGTTAAATACAAGAAGATGTAAATGAAGCGCTAACACAACACCTGGCACGCAGCAAGTGCTCAGTGAGGGACACCTGTTATTACCCTGTCCTCTAAACCCTGTGCTTTCCTAGCTGTGCATCAGTGAGCAAGCCTCTTGACCTCTCTGGGCTTGGTTCCCTCATCTGCAAAATGAGCGGTGTTTCTCGGAGTGGCTAACGAGTCCACGGCTGGAGGCTGCCAGCCTTGAAGCTGGCACCCAGAGTCCAGGCTGACTGAGGCCACCTGCAGGTGCAGATGACACACAGGGAAGTGGTTAATTGGAGCCGAGTCGGCCCTGCCACAGCTTTTCTAATAAATTATGAATAAATTATGTTTGATTCCCCAGAACTTTGTCGGTGAGCAAGAGCAATGCCAGGAGGTGTGGAGAAGGCGTGTCATCGGTGCATTTCTAAAATTGCCAGCAATGGTGAGTCACGGCTCTGAGAAGTGCCCTCGTTTTGAAGGATTTGGGGCTCTGAGATCACATGACTTGTTCAAGCCCAGAGCGAACCATGTGGATGGTCAGTACGTGGCTCGGGGTGGCCCCAGGGCAGAGCTGGGAGGACAGCATCCTGCTCTCTGTTGATGCCCCGACTTCCGCTCCTTGCTTATGACTCTGAGGCTTCTTGTAGTGCGCAGGACATGTTTTCAACATAATAAGCGTTTGAAAAATGTTTGTGTGAATGGAGTCACTGATAGAACCAACGTATAATGGCAGCAGAGCCGGGAGATATGCAGGGAGATGTGAATGGATTTGGATTGGGGTAGCTTCCCCCACCCTCACCCTACCTTATCTCCTTGCCAAGTTGGACTTTCCCCCATCAGCTCTTGGGGTGCCCTTAGTGTCCAGAGGGGCTGGGCCCCATTACAGAGGGCCCAGTTATATCATGACATTTGGAACATCCTTAAAGCAAATCCTAGGTGCTGGGCTCCTTGGGATGGAAGCATTTATCTCATGGTGAGATGTGAGGTCTAACTCTGACACAGATGAGATGCGAGTAAAGGGAGCCTTGTAGGAGGCCTTACACAACTGATCTTAGAGCCATAACAATCGGAAACAGCAGGGGCGGGTAGAGTGGAATAAGGTAGAAGGTCAGGGGAACAGGGGATGGCGATGGGTGCCTGGTGACTACGGCATTGACATGCTGACGCCCATGTCGGGTCACTAACTACGCCCCCGACTCCTCCCAGGACATCTCACTTGCTGCTGCATCCCGGCACCTCCAGTGGTGCCCGGCACATAGTAGGAGCACAGTCACTGTCCACTGAGTGCCTAGGTGGGCGGGTGAATGAAACACCAGCTCCTAATGCGAGCTTCTCCTCTAGCTGACGTGCCCACATCTCACCCTCCTCAGGCACAGCCTGACACTTTACTCCCCAGAATGGCTCTGGGACCCACGGTCCCCTTCACCTCTGGCGCACACCTATTGTCGGGGGGCCAGAGTGGAGGCAGTGGTCTTGGTCATCTGTACAGGGTCTCTGACGCTCTGACAGGAAGGGCCTGTTCACTGCCCTCAGGGAGATGAGACACCGTGGGCTGTACTGTGGCTCTGTATCCCCCTGAAATGAACTCCCCACTCCCGACCCCCCCACGTCCTACCTGGTGACGCAGCAAGAGCCCTGATGGCACTGGCAGGTTGGCCACAGAGGAGGCATTACTCTCGAGGTTTCCCAGAAAAGGGGAAGTTTCCTGGCCGCTCAGGAAAGCCCCCCGGTCTTGGTCCTCAGCTCCTCAAATGCCCTTGAGAGGTGACAGGAAGCTTTTGGCCGACCTGCCCTATCTGTGGTCTCCTTGACCTCCCCCCTGCTTTCACCCCCCGTCTTGCAAATGACTCTGCCTTCAGCTGGGACTTTGGCAGGGTCTCCTATGTGCTCTCCCTGCCTCCTGTCTGGTCCCCTTAGCACAGCCCCCACATGTGGCCAGAGTCCCTCCCTCCCAGTGACGCCCATTCCTGCAGAAGAGAAATGAACTTCAGATCCCTGAGAAGCCCCTTTGTGAGCTGACCCCTGCTCCCCTCACATGTTGTCTCTTCTTCCTCCCCTTCTCACACTGGAAAATGCAGCCGGACAACATTTTTGCTTCTCCAAAAACTCCAGGCTCCCTCTGTCTCCTGGGCCTTCCAAAGTGCACTGTTGGTTGGAAGGGAGAAACACTAGTAATTATGAAGTGGAAAATTGGGGAGAACTGTGACCAGGGTACAAAATTAACGTCACCAACGAGGGACAGATGGCCGTCACTGGTGTAGTGATCTGGCCAAGAAGACACGACCTTAATCCAAACACAAGGGAAGGGGGGCAAACCCACAGTGAGGAATGTTCTTCTAAGAGAGGGTGCAGGGGACTGCTGTCTTAGTCCTTTGGCCGCTGTAACAACTTACCATAGACTGGGTGGCTTGTCAACAACAAAGGTTTATTTCTCACAGTCTGGAAGCTGGGCGTCTAAGGTCAGGGTGCCAGCATGGCTGGGCTCTGATGAGAAACCTCTTCCAGGTTGCAGACTGCTGACTTCTGACCATAACTCCACGTGATGGAGAACAGAGAGGAAGCAGGTTTTCTCTAGGTTCTCCTAGGGGCCCTAATTGCGGTCACGGGGGCTCCACCCTCGTGACCTCATCGAGTCCTGATCACCTCCCGAAGGCCCCACCTCCTAATTTGGGGTTAGAATTTCAACCCGAATTTAGAGATGATGCATTCAGTCTCTAACAACTGGATTCTTCAAAAATGTCAGCATCATATAAAACAAAGGCTGTGGCAACGTGCTCGATTCAGGAGAACCAGTAAATTCAACAACAAAAGGCAGCGCCTGACCTTAGATTGGGTCAAACCAAAATGCAACTTGGATGGTAGATTAAAGCATTTTCTCAGTGTGAGTTTGCGAAGTTGCCAACCATACTAAAGTTATATAAGACAATGTCCTTATCCTTAGGAAATACACAATGGGGTTATTTCCAACTAAAAAGTTTAAAACTTAATACAAGAAGCGTACAGACAGAAAACTGAGCTGTAAGTATCTGAATGTTTGCTCTGTGACTCTCTGCTTTTCTGAATGTTTAAGAATTATTCGCAATGAACGACGCTTTTAGAACTTAGACTGGAAAAAAGCCTCCCTGAGCTTATCCAGGATTTCTCACAATGCTGCACTACAGGCATGTACAACCACAGTGCTTTCCTTTCAAATGACTTTCAAATTTTCTTCTATATGGTTCTCCACATTTTCCACATTTCCTGTAAAGCAGTACATACTTATGAGAAAGAGAAGTTCTGTCTTAACAATCTTCAGATACTCCCTTTAGGCTGGTTTGCAGCTGGCCCCCGTCCATGTAGGAAGTTAGCTAAAGGGTGGAGGGGAGCGGAGGCTTTTGAGGCCTCGGAGGAGTGACCCTTCCACTTGTCTGTCCCTCAAGGGAGCAGAGCAGGCTCTGTCATGGCCTCAGACCCCCCCGAAGCCCCCTGGAAGAGCTGTCCGGAGCTCTCCCGGGCCACTGTGCAGCCTCTGTCTCATGCTCTTTCCATCACGTCCACTCTGCTGCAGTGCCGTTGCTCCCTGGCCCCGATGCTGGCCTGGTAGTTCAGTTTAATAACTAAGAAGCAATGAAATCTTGATGAACGCACATGTATGTGGTGTGTGCAGCCGGCCTCCAGCCATCACAGGATGACTTGATTAAACATAAAGAGTGTGGTGATCGCATGTCATTTGCACCTGTCGGGGCACCCTGAGAAGCCCTGTTTAGCTCCACATGGAGACAGTAGCCAAAAAAGGGGCTCAGTGAAGCCACGCTCCAGGGAACCCTGAGAGAGAGGACTTCCACCCTGAGACTGGACCAAAGGACCGTGACCCCAGGGGTTTCAGCCCCCAGAGAGGCTCACAAAAGCCAACATACTGACTTGTCAAGCAGCAATTTTATCCTACAGTTCTGGCTGTGAGAAACAGTATATTATTTTGTTTGATTTTTAATGTACTTTTAAAACTTTAAAACTTCTCCTTTTGTAGGTAAGATTAAGGTGACTTCATATTCCCACTTGCCAAACTAGCAAGAAAATCAGTCCGGGGCACTGCGGTCACGGCACTCAGGTTGTGGGGGCTGGGGATCACGTTTACATCTTTTGGGAGCGGGGTTCAGGAAGGCTCCTGCTCTCCAGGCAAAGCCCTCGTGAGCCTATGTAGACCCTTTGTAGAAGGTGCCCTCCTGGTAGGAGCCGCCTGAAGGACACACAGCTTAGGAGCAGATGCTTTTCTTGGGAGAAAAGGGCATCCCTTCCTCCAGGCAAGAGGGATTTCCACCTTCATGCGCCCTTAGCTTCACCCAGGCCCCTCTTTCCTGCACACACTGCCCAGCTGTATACTGTGCCCTTACCACAGGGCCAGCACCTGTGCCAGGCCTGGGATGTTGGGGTCTTTACCAGCCTAGGAGCCTCGTGGCCCCTTCCTAGGTGCTGCTGGTAGCAATTCCCTCTGGGCACCACAAGGAAGAGGGCCACCAGCCACAGTTCCATCCAAGAACGCCATTCCTCATCAGCTTCAGAGGTCTCACCATCCATTGCTCCTCCCCTTCGAGCACTTTCCTTTATCCCCTTCCGTTGGGACAATCCCAGGGAATTGCCCTCAGTGAGCTCCAAGGAGCGAAATTTGCCACGTCTCCTCAGGGAATCAGAAAAAGAGATTCTAACAGCTTGTCAGTCCAGTACTTCTTACTATGTCTTACCTTGTACTTCTGAACATCTGAAAGCTGTAGACCTTTGGAAAGTCCAGAACATGGACAATGGAGGTGGTTTTAGAAAATCCTGGAGCTCTGGGCCTTCAGATTGCGGCAGGCTCACCTGGCACGTTGACTGCAGTGAATTCTGAACCAAACACACGTCCTTTCCTGGAAGTTCCTCCTCTTTCCATCCCTTGAGTCCCTGCCAATGCCCTCACCATCTTGTCGTCTTTCCTTCATCACTGCCTCTAACTGGTACTCGAGGCCCTGCCCAGTCTCCACCTTATGCTAGGCCCCTCACTGCTCTCTCAACCCCCATCGCCACCCCACTTGGAGTATGTCACTTCCCAGCTTATCTTATCTCCCATTCATCTGTTATGGATGGCCTGCGCTCAGCTAAATGTGAGGATTTGCCAGTCTCCAAAGCCACCCTGGCTTTTCTTCCCTGAATCTTTTGTTTCGTGTAGGATTTTCCCTTTGACTGAAAAGCCACTCAGCCCATCAAAACCCTACCCTAGCCATCAACACCCAGTGCCAATATCACCTCCTCCTGGAAGCATTCTTTGATTTCCTCGGGATTCCTTCCTCCTCTGGGCTTCCTTACTGCTTCATGCACCTCTGGTGGCCCCACACACTGATTCGTATAGGCCCTTGGGTACACATCTCATCTCCCTTATGGGTTGTGAGGTCTGTGTGGGTGAGTTTAGTGGGTGGCTGTGGAACAGGCCAG